CCTATATTTTGATATATATTTTCTTTTATATATGTATATAGATAGATATGAAAAATATACAGAAAAATTACAGACTGGAGTGCAAGCTAGCTGGCACTTCAAGGAGACAAATAATACTGACTTGTTTAGTTCCCCAAGCATCAATATTACACTCTTTTCTAGAACTGAATTCCAGTGATGGGTCATAGGACAGAGGACATTCTCTGTCCTGTACAGGTTCAAGGTGATACAAACCTGAAGTGGAGATGTGAGCTGAAGTATCTTCATTCAGGTCTTTATTCCAGAACACACAGCTGTAGTTCTCACTTGTATTTGGTTTGAACATCAGGATGCTGGTGACATTGTAGAGGCCATCTGCGGTCAGTGTATAGGTCGTATTTGCAGATCCACTGAGTCTGAAATTCTTCTCATTTTGCCAAAAAACCTCTGCCAGAGGAAAGCCTTCTGACTGGCACATAAAAATGAACTTGTCTTCACCTGGTTTTTTCATTACTTGGGTATTTATTCTCTTGTAGGATGCTGTGTAAGAAGTCATTGAGTGAAATTGTTGCCTGCAACAATAGTAATTTTCCCACTCCTTTCCCTCCTTCCCTTTAATGCCATATTTTAAAATGATGAAGGATGTTTTGTAGAACAATGCAGTATTCATTATTCAATCCTTACCATGCTTACAGTGACAGAACTTACTCCACTACTTTATACAAGGCAGTAGTTGATACTAAAATTTATAATTTATCTATATAGAGGACACAAGTCACCTGGGATTCTGTTTTCATTTTTTGAATATGCCACTTCAAGCAAAAGCCTGGTTTAGATGTTTGTTTTACCATAGCTTATAAACAAGTGTTCTATTTTCAACATATTAGAACAAAATTAACTTTTCAGAGGAACTGATCTAGGTCTTATAAAGAGACATTTCCATTTTTGCATTTGACAAACGTTGTTATTTAAATGTCTGGGTGGGAAATGAATGCTGCCATGTGTCACATGGACATGCAGTTAGTGGGAAACATCAGAGATCTTTCAAAGGGCTGATCTGTCATGCTGTCCAGTAACATATACCTTTATTACTAATGTCCATTTGGATTTGATGAACACAGAAAGTCATGTCCTTGCGCTGTGAGCTGCAGTCATTTGGGGAATTCACAGCCACTTCAGTAGCTGCAGAAGGGCTCATAAGTACATTAAAGCACCTCTGAGAAACTTTTGGGAATGGCCAGAGGTGGTCCAACAAGGCAGAGGATCAAATGCGAGAAGGGAGATGGGAACACTGGATAAGAGGGTGTGGAAGGAAGGAGGAAAGATGGAGGATAGAGGGGAACAGATGCCCTCCCTCTCTGGCACAGGCTGCTCCTGGACAAACTCAGCTAGCCATTGAACCAAAGACTAGCCAGCACTAATACTATTGAGGCCCTCAAGATTTGAATCAAATTTCACAATTTTTTTTCATTTGTTAATCAGTAGCTATAGCTGGACATATATAATTAAGCAATTGCATTGTGAAAGTTGTATGCTTGCCTAATCTTTTGTTTTAAGGATAAGAGAAGACAATCCCAAGATGAATGGGCTGTCTGGGCGAAAGCCACCAGGTGTGAAGTCAGCAGAACTGATCAGTAACTAGAGGAAAGATAATTCCAGCAGTGGGTAGTTGCAACCATTGACTCATTGACCACCTACTCAAAACAGGACCCAGACTCAAACAGAGGGAAGAACTGTTCCTGCAGGCTAATTAGCATGATAAGTAAGAGATGTAACTAGCAAATAGGAGGTTTGAGTACTAATTAAGAGAAAAGTTATGCAATTTGTAACCAACGAATGCTGATGCCTTTGTTTGTTAAAATGTATAAATAGTGTAAAGTTCCAATGATCGGGGAGCTAGCCTTTTGTGGGTTACCACCTGCTCCCTACTTAGTGCAAATTAGAATAAAAAATAGAAATGCCTCCCCTCGGTGTGTAAATTGGCACTGGGTAATGAGTCTGCATTTAGGACAACAGTAAGACAACAGCTTTGGTTCAGCTGACCACAGGTGAGAGAATTAGCAAAACATTCCTCCAAATTAATCAATTTCTACAAGCTTGTAGGAATTTAGAAGAAGACATCTCATTGAGTATATACTTACATTCAATTCAAACACTAACCTTTTACTTCCAAAGTAATGTACTTGTAGTCCACGCCCTGGTAGTCAATGAGACAAAGGTATGATCCTGCATCTGTGATCTTCACACTGGTGATCTGAAGGATAGCTCGTCCCAACTTCAGTTGGCTGTGCAGAAGTGATGCTCTTCCTATGTAATCAGGATGTTGGGATGGAGGGAGTGCTTCCCCATTGCGGAGTGTGTACACCCCTCTTGATTTTGAGCAGCCCTGCCTTTTCTGCTCCCAAACAACAGTCAGGAGCCCTAGATTTATCGAGCCATTCACAGGGAATGTGCATTCCAAGGTCACGTTGCTCCCATACTCCACAATGTAGAGCTGTTGTGGAACTTCAACTGTAAATAAAGCTACAGGAGGAAAAGAAAACAGTTTCTTTTTTTGCATTAAAATATGTTCTGATTTTCTTTACATTTGGGCACAACTGTGTCATGTAGTGAGGCATATGGTTGCTGGTTTGACTAAAAGTTTTAAGCATTTTTTGTTCATTCTCACACTAACATTTTTACCATATAGTATTCGTATTAAATAATCTATATTCTATAGAGATTACAGAATGTGGAAGAAAAGGACAAAATGGGCAATTATATTTTTCACATTTCATAAATAACTTGAGGCTGACCCAGTCCAGTGTAGCTCCTGTGAAACAGAGTTGCACTGGATAGGCATATATAGCTTGGAAGAATTGCTATGCAGCAATTACAGTCTCCCACAAGCTTAGAACCATGTGAGTATCATTTGTATCCTCCCATACATCTTCTCAGATACATCCAGCACTATTACAGAAAACATATCAAAATAGTTTTCTTAGCCATTCACCCAATTTGTAATTCATATTGTTATGAACAGTTTACCACTATAAAGTGTAACTGGCAAAGCAGAGTTATTTACAATACCTCATTCAATATAGAGTGTTACTACTCTGTATACTGCATATACCATATATGAGTAGATCTAATTCAGAAGCACTTGGAAGTATTGATAATGACATTCCAAAGAGAAGTCCATGCATTCCTTTTATTCTATGTGTTCGTGGAATACTTACAGGGAAACCTTCAATTCATCTTAGCAATATTGGTTTATTCACTTTTATACAACCATAATGAGGGGGAAAACTATATGGAAAAGTGCCAAGCCCCTTCTGGGTTTTAGCCAAGCTGCTCCTGCTATAAGCATGGACAGGGGAGCAGACATGGTTTTACTTCACTCTGCCTCAAACTGAGGTTGTTCGGCTTCGCAATGGGTGTGGGTAGCTTTGGTCATCCTCTCTCTCACAGCCATGCTTGCCCATGCTAGACACCTCAGGTGTTAGTACACAATACTTTAAAGAAGCCTGATTGTGGAAAGTCTCAGACATCTGTCCTGAGTTCAGTTAGTGCCAGTGCCTTCTGCTGGCATTTCCAGTGTCTGTAAGGCATTGGAAAGCAGAGGCTCCAAGGCATTACTGGCCATTCATGCAAGTATCGCTGAAGGTGCTGAAGCCCAGGTACTGAGGACTGCACTGGTTCTGCTGATGGAATTGAAAAGCTGTTTCTCTCTCACCTGAAACCATGGAGAGCTGTGTTTCCACCAACAGCATTGTGAGGATCTGGAACATTTTCTCAGGTGGATCTGAAACAAAAGTAGGACTGCTTCAGAACTTGCAACAGCAACCTTCTCATGCTGAGGCAGCTCTGAGCCATGCTAGATTTCAAAACCCATCACAGCTCAAAACCAGCAAAAAGAGAAACAAACACTAGGCACCGGTAGAAACAAGGAAAATTGTGATTAAAAAAACCCCATGCACACACACAGAATATGAACCAATGGCAATGAACCAATGGCAATAAAGGGAAATAAAACACTTCCACAACTTCACCCATGCCATTTTAAGGATCTGTTGCTTTTAGGAAGTCTTAAATAGTCTGACAGGGCAATTCTTTTACTTTTTTTACTACCGATGAATAATAAAAATCAATTGCGGTTGACTTCTGACATGCAGAAGAGCTTCATAACCATGCAAAAAGAAATTTTTTTAACTGCTTGCACTAACACCTGATCTAGTTTACAAGATCACAAATGCTGATTTTGTTTCAACTGCTTTGCATAATTTTTTGCAGATGCTTATTGTCTGAGTACTTTGAGCGCAAGACCAGCAGATACCTGGAAGCCACCGTGAGGTACTGGAAGTCTCAGGGTGGGTAACTGAAAGTTTGTTTCAGAATGGATTAGAATGAAGACTTACTGCTGCTACTTCTTTCGCTTTGCGTGTGGCAGTGCCTGACACGTACAAAGCGCCCTATAATACTGATAGTAAGCCAACAGCCCTGGAATAATGCAAAAGGAACAAGTCCAGTTTTAGAGTGAGTATCTTCTGGTTCCAGTAGCAAGCAAACTATTAACTGTTTTTTGTAGTTTTGTCCACAGCTCAACATAACTAAAAAGCAAGAAGAAAACTAAACCAAATCAACCAACCAACCAACCAAAATAATAACAACCAAACCCAAAACCAAAAAAACCAGGGGCAAAGTTTATAACAAAACTAATGAGGTAACAGAAAAGAAGGAAGAATTACTTTTAATAAAGTGTGCTAATATAGAGTATACTCTTCAGAAATATTGAAGAAGATCCATAAATAAGCTATAAGGAAGTAAAGAAGAGAAAGAGTAATTTTAGACTTCCCCAGAGCTAGACTTTCTGGAGAAGGGGTTTAATTGTACTTCCCTATTCTTTTGTGGCTCATCTTGAAACATTCTCAGTCTCCTGCTAAGCTACTTCTCCACAAAACTTACCTAGAAGCAGGTGGACATAGAGAGAAGAACTGAATGAAGGATGGAACAATATTTCACATCAATGTTTAGATCCACGGATTAGCCTTATGTGGGACATTTGAGGTAATCCGCTCTCTGTTAATAGCTCGGAGTACATTGAGAGCTGAGCATGTTTACTTCATAATGTAGGGGATGGGACTTTTCAAAATGTATGTATTACTGAAAGTAAAAGGAAAGAACAAAAATAAGGGATACATAATCAAAGACCCAGCAGATAGAAATCATAATTATTAAATATCAAGAAAGATTAAATCTTGCCTGACCAGGTGGATTAGCATGGTAAGAGCATTACACATACCATAAACAGTTAAAAGAACCCAAATGGGAAAACATTTTCACTTGTGATACTGAGAGCAGACTCATGGAATGCTTGTGGAGATCAGAAAGGATCTGCATTAGAAGGATGAAGGATCTATCAACAAGGAACTGTATTAGAAGCAATCCTTCTTTATTTTCACAATCTCACTAGCAGACAAAAAGCTGTTGCACAATCTCAGTGCAATCTATCCATGCAACTTAATGATATGTCTCTGCCACCTGTCACCCTTCCTTAGAGAGGGTCTGTACCAGCATCTGGAATGTGATTTCTTCTGAGCTTTCATGACCAACCACTCATGCTGTTACAGAATAGCCCTCATTTTCTCCCTGCCTGTTGTAAAACATATGCCATGCCCTGCTGTGTAGGAATATCTTAACAAGTTCATGCACAGCACTGTCTTTTCTTTTTTTTTCCCTTTACATTAAAGGTGATTTCTAAAGTGTATTCAGCATATGTCTGGTACAACTTCATAGGGATAAAACAAAGGAATGCTGCACCATAAAAATCAGCACTTAATGGTTGTGACAGTAAAGTCAGGAAATGAAAATACACATCTGAGAACATGAAGAAGTTGCATGACACTTTGACAGCAATTCAGATCTTCTCAGTAAATTAAGTTCCAAGAACAATCTGCAGAAGAAAAGGCAAGTTTTCACACAGTGCTGTGTGATTATGAAAATTAAGCTGAAAAACATTTAGAGTGTTGAGGTGATGAAAAGCATCACATCAAACATCTAAAAATCATAATGGCTTTTTATGAGTTGTAATAGTTTCGGTGAAGATGTAGGGCTCAAGACTCAAAATTTTAATGGAAAAAAGTGAAAACAAGAGTATGACTATGAATGGGAGAAAGGAGGAATATAATCTTCTCTTTTTATACAGCTTTTTTGTTTTACTGAATGTACTAAGTTGAAACCCATACTTGACATCTGTTGGCCCAGAAGGAACATATTCTGGTAAGTTTTCTTAGTGAATGCTGAGTGAAATCCAGATGACAGTGATAATAAATTGCTAAAATTACCCCAAAGGTCAAAAGAACACTATGTTTTGTTTTCCTCCTTTTGATTTGGTTGATCATGCCTGTGACTTTAGTCCTGGCCCCAGCTCATGTACTCACAAGGATAATTCTCATCTCAAAAAAAAAGGTAATTTTTGGCTAATGGAATGCCCCACTTCACCTAAAATCTCAAATGATTGCCCCAAATCCTTCTGGTAAGGATTGAGAAGGATATTTCTTGTTCTCTCAGAAAATTTAGAATCCGCATTCCCATTTCAAACTGCACAAGCTGTGTGCTCCAGGCAAGAATATTGTTCAGTTTACAACTTTTAGGCTTCACTCAGTTCTACAGACAGAAGTGAAGAGGTGTTTATCTTGACAGAGCTGTGTGTTACAAGGATGCTCACAGGAACTGAAATTGGTGTCAAAAAGGGAACATCAAAATGCTATATGCTTAAACCATGGACTTCTTGAGTTAAAGCTGGGATAATTCTTTTAAGTAGCTGTGCTTTGTATAGATCTCTTCGGTATGTGTTTATCGTTATGGCTACTGGATCTTTTTTTCAGGGAACACTCATGTGAACCACTGTGAGTTGATGAATGAGGTTAGCACCAATCTGGGTCATAAGTGTTAAAATTGATTTGGTCTCAGTTAGTGACAACTCTAACAATGTTCACAATGTTAAGTTTCCAAGAAGTTTTGTAAGCAAAGGAACATGAAGATCACAGAATATTTTGCAATCTACTCCTTAGAAATAAAGATTGAAACCCACTTCTGAATAATGTACATTATATCCTATCCCTTTCATCCATGTATTTCAAAGATCGTAGTACTTTTCTTCATCCAGCAAATGGATGGTTAAGAACAGTAAACATATTTAGCACTTACATAATGAAACTTAGCAGCATTAAGCAAGCCAAGTTTTGTAAACCAATAACTTCCACTAGAATAATCAGCACTGTTGGAAAATCTAAACAAGATTTCAAGCACACTGGCTCTTCTCCAGGTTTAAAGCAGAAGTCAAATGAACACAGAAGTTCACAATAATCACTTAGATTGCATTCTGGAAGATCAAAGGATTAAAGAACTAAGGAAAGGGCACTCGATTCTTTTAAACTTTAGTGGGCATTGCAGACAGACCCTTGTTTGTATTGCATTTCCCTGCAGACCAAGTTATACCATTGACAGCACTTATGATGTGATCATGCTCAGTTTTAGTGGGTATAGCACAGGTGTTCTTGCAACATTCCTGGAAGAAAGTGGGGACATTGCACCCTACAGCTGGGAACTAGGAGGAGGACAGTAATATCACCAAGCTGGCTAGGTGACCAGTGTCCACCTCTACTTGAACTGTCAAGTACACTTTAGCAAACAAGGTACTGCGAGTGGTCCCAAGGAGTGGTGAGAAATCCTGAGCTGGTAGAATTTGTTACAGATTTGAAACACAAATATGCTGCAGCTGACATACTCTGTAACATTACAGAGACCAGCTCAGGTCACTCTTTTACTATTCCCTCTCCTTCTACAGTCTTTGTCTTTTTGTACTGCAAAGATAGAACCTGTACAAAGCACAGCACAGAGCCCCCTGGAAATATTCCAAAATGACAAACTCATCTGAATACCAGAAGCAACCGAGCAGTGTTATCATGACATCTTAATTGGCTCCATTTTACTGAAAAAAAGCATGACAGCAATGCCAAGCTAATGTGACTGTACTGCTTATTATGCCTAAGTGAATTTGTTTTGGGGTAATTCAGACCTTCCTGCATGAAATAGAGTTTTATGCTCACTTTGTCAGGAAAGAGACTATCTTCTCATATGCCTGTGTACATGACAAAAGGTCGAGGGGTCCCAGTCACTGTTTGTTTTATCTTTCTCTGTTACTGAGACTCCATTGTCTTCTGTGCATTTTGCAATCTCAAAAGCTTCCTTCCAACACTCTCACATGTGCAAAAAGACACAACCTTTTAGGCATCCTCACAGAATGGCTAAACTGACTTTCCTTACAGTGAAGTTTTTAAAACAAAACAAGAAGTTAAAAAATCTACTTCAGAAAATAAGCAACAGAAAAAGCACATTAGATCCTCACACAAACTACATCTGCTCTGTATCTCACCATCAGAAAGAAGGTACTTTCCATTTCAGGATTTCATAAAAAATCTAACCATGCATATTAAAATTTGTTCAAAGTCCATTTCTCAAGCCTGTCTCAGTATATTCTGTGGGCATAGTCTTTTGCTCTCATTGTCTCCAACTCACCTCATCCACATACCCTCTCACATGCTGTTCTTCCTCTGCTTTTTGCACCCTTATTGCAGTCTTTTGTTGCCCACCTCACTATGCAGTCAGTCTACTGTTGGGACCATTACTTTGTTTCTGGTGTTTACATGTGATAGCCTATTTGCATCATTTCAGTCTTCTCTTCATCTCCCTTCAGCTTTCAGGTGAAGATATGTAATTTCTCAGTTCC